TGAAAATCGAGCAGCGGAGGAAGGAGTTTGTATGTGGATGAGTAGAAAGTGGAGGGGGGGAGCGAGCATCGCTGCAGCACCAAGCATTGCGCTGAACAACCAGACATTCTTGCCAAAATTTGTGGACTGTGCATTGAACAGGTTAGATGAGAAAGTGGCACTGCACTGCAAAGTCCCTGGCCTTCCCAGCGGCAGCAGACCTTTCCTCACAGCTGCATAAGCCATGTTGTCATTGATACATCGAGAAGTTAGAGCCCCCTCTCTTTTCTGCTACTAATGCTGCATTCATACAGGCTCCTCACTCAAATTTACCTTCTTTCTTCTCCTCTCCTTTCACCTGGACACTACCATACTTAAAAGTGGGTTCTTTCTGTTTGCTTTTTTGTTTCTTTGTTTAAGAAAAATCAGACTTTGTAGCTGCAGTGGTAGGATTTTAGCTGTGAATGAAATAAAAGGCCAAAATTATTGGCCAGGGAAATTAAAAGTTCCTGGGGTTTAGAGTAACTTTCTTCACATGAAAAGGACTTTGCAAAGAAATCCTGTGAAAATAAATGTAAAATGGTTGAAAATGGAGTAGAAAGTGAAATAAAATTTGCTGAGCCTACCATGAGGGACACTTTGCTATTGGAAGTAAGACAGGTGTAAGGTATCTGTGATTCTTACAGAATTGTTTATGATTACTATGTAAATATAGCAATGAAAAATGAGCTTATTTTGACATAAAACTTACACTAAAATAATCCTAGATATTTATTTTAACACACTTTCACTCCTCTTTCAGAATAAGATAACCTAAGAAGATTTTGCCATATTTGTTTTATAAGCTTTAAAAGAAACTCTTCATGTGAATTAAAGTTTTATCTCAGCAAAAAGTTCTGGCTTCTGTTCATAGCCATCTGATAGCCAAGATGGTTTCTTTTGATAGCTTCCTGGCCTCAGAATTTCAAAGAATAAATAACAGATAGAGAAAATATATTAAAAATCTTCAAGTAAAGGTGAAAATTATCCTTAGTGCTTTACAAAAATATTTTAAATGAGTTAACACATAAATATGATTTTAATTCTAATAATCAGGACACTTTTCTGTGTGGAATAAACCTTACAATTAGTTTTGTAAACTCCTCGACCAAGACAGAGTTACAAAAGTTGAACTTAGCTACCATTTGTTTAAAGCCAGGATGAAAGTTTTTGTTTGTTAAAGACTCATCAAACACTTCGGAAGGAGGGGAATATCATTGTATTATGTGTTGCTTGTCCTGGACATTGGAATTCTTAAAACCCAATGCAACTGCACACTAATGTACGTGCCTCACGTTATGCACATGAATAAATGCGTTGATGTCAATCACAATAAACACAGAACTTTAAGTATTTGTGGAATCCGATTAAAGCAATTGAAGACATAATAATTGATTACTAATATTGTGCAGAAGTCTTTCCCCTATTTATATAAAAAAATACTGTATAGAGAAATTAATTGTTACACAATTGTTGATATTCAGAAGATCAGAGAAAGAAGAGGAAAGTTAAGGCATCATTCAGGTGCCAATTGAAGTAGCTAAAATTCTGGCATTGACGTCAGCAAACCATGATTTGACTGAATTCAGAACAAATGTCATATTACAGCAATGCAATATTTTAACTTTAAAACAAATGTATATACTACTTTTGTTACATGCAGAAACTACATACAATTGTGTACACTAAAGTTTCAGCAAGTACTTTCTTCCAATGTCTTTCTTGACATTCATAACTAGATTGCAAACTTCTTGCATAAAGTTCCCCCATGATCTCATCACTCCGACCAGTGTAACAGCATTGTGCAGTCTATCATATTGACTGAAGTTGTGTTGCAGTGAAAATAACTCAAATCAGACTCCAAACTTCTGGAAATTATGCATCAAAATCTTAGGGTTTAGAAACACTTTAAAAATGAAAATAAAATAGTTTAATATTTGCACACCTTGATATGGGGTTTAATTGGAACCAATTATTTGATTACACTCATTGAACATACAACAGGTAATGGACACGTTACATGTCATCGAGCTCACTCACCACCAGAGTTTCAAACAGATTTAAAGCTATACTGTGCACTCTATCTACATGTAGGTTTTAGTAGTTATTTTTGCACAGTCCTTAGCTTTAAGAGATTGTCAGCAAAAATCACATGAACACAGCGTAAAGTAACATCCAGACGTGAAATTTTGGACACTAGTTACTTTTATTTTTTCACTTGTTAATGCCCAAGTAGTGTCACGGCAATATTTCTATGCTGCAGCTAGATATCTAAAACTGAAAACTGTCACTGGTCAGAAAAAAAGCATAAACAAAGCAATAATTTTAGCACCAAAATATTTGGTATTTTTACTAGTAAATTACTGAACACAGGAGTAAATAAAATTGTTCTTGTAAAGCACTAGCAGTGTCAGGTGGGTTCTTGCACTACGTAAGTGACGTAATAATGATTAGAAGGGGCATGAATATCCCAGAGCTGAACCGTCACTTAGCATTACTGTAAAAGTTGCTAACATCACTTTGGTATTAATCCTGCAGCTGTAGTTATTCGTACACTAGCTTCCAAGACTTTCACACAGGGTATAGCACTTATAATAAGTCAAAGGCCCCACTGAAGCCACTTGGAGCATTACTGGAACAAGATGTTGCTCAGCAAGAGACAATTTCTCAACTAACAAAGAACGGTCCCTTTTAAAGATGTGTCATGACAGAAGATGTGAACCTAGGTGCTGTTAAATGATAACTTTATCCTTGCCTATGATACTATGAAATGGAATATTTAGTGCCGACTGGCCTATATACTACAATGTTTGTTTCAGCAAAGCTGAGGCTGTATGGACACAAGACCTGCGCTCTAGTCGAACATTTCAGGGGTAGCAAGGAGGGTGACACTGCCTTTGAATTTTTCACAGCTGTGCTACATGTGCTGTAATGTTGGGATACAAACTTGGAACAACTATTATTGTAAAAAAAAACCCACTAAAACCACTGATCTAAAGTAGATTTGAACAATCAAGTAAAATTAACACTATCTTATTATTAATAACTTGATGAGGCAAAAAAGATTACAGACACTGTTTCCCTACTTGCAAGCATATAATGATTTGGAGATGTGGATTGAGCCCTTTAACTAAATTCTACTTTAGTGACTGTACCACCTAACCATAACCTGTGTGTCAAAATTCATGTGTTCCAAAATACTCTAATGAATATGCAAAGTGATGTTAGAAAGTCTTTCGGAAAGTTTGAATCCTTGATAATCTCAGAAGTGAAACTTGTTAATAAAAAACTATAGAAACTAACTACAGTAAAAATAGCTTAGGAAATGAATCTACTGGTTTAATGTAGCATTTCCTACATAATTCTTATTATATGTCATCTTCATGGCCATCCAAATCATGCTTTCGGGTGTTGAGTTTAAACTGTTCTTGATTAGCGCTGATCTGGAAAAAATACCTTATTGACTTGAACTGTGGTCGCACTATTTTCCTCTCTATGCTACATCTGCCATGTTGACATATGTCAAGAAATTCTGTAACAGTTGCACAAAAAGTTAAAAGGGAAGCAGACGGATAGGAGTGAACAGATGAAAGGAAAAGAGGCAAATGTCTGGTCAAAAGAAACTCATTCCAAGTCTCAGTCCCAGAACAACTAAATTCTTATATATTTAAGTAATGATCACCACTTTCTCCAACAAAGAACTGAATTGTGACTTGACTGGATGAATTACTAAAGGATTAGATAAAGCGTTAGACACAGGAGAGCAATAACAGATGCACATGCTTATAGGAAGGTTGATTTTTTTTCATATTCTGCCTTTTATGCTTGCTTAGAACATATCTGTACTGCTCAGTACGGTTCCTTGTCGAGATACATCCAAGCGAGCTCCAAAGCAGAGGCAGTTTTAAGGTCAATACCTCTGACTGGCACCGTCCTGCAACGTGGAGATGCACTAGCTCATTAGAAGCTTGCTCAGTACCCTGTAGCCTTTCCCTTGTTATGTTCAGCAACTAGAGCTATAGAAGTTCTATATATTCCTAGATACAAAGATTCTATTAGGATGATAATTTGATTTTTTTTTTAAACATTCAACAGAATAACTTGAGTGTACTGTGCTTCTTTGCGCTATTGGTACAATCTGAACTGCTGCTTTACAAACTATTACCTGCAGCCCCACTCACAGTCTGATAGAGCAAAAGAGGTAGATTATATGAGAATGGCAGTTAAGAATACAATGCTAGCTGAGGGCTTGCTTAATGTGAATTTGGGCTTAGAAAATATACACATTTAAAAAAGGGTTGACATAGAGACATTAGAACTGAAGTTTGATTTTTATAAAGCTTCCTAGCCTATCTAGTGTTGTACTTTACTGACATTTATTGCAACATAAATTGCCTTTAACACAGATGATAAGGTTTGATTGTCCATTTTCCCAATTATGGCTACTAAAAAACCAACACCCTATCCTATACTGAATGCTGAAAATCTGAGTAGTTTCAGGAATCTCCTCAGATGATGGGCCTAGTTTTATCCTCTCAGTAATCCCTGACCCACTGAAGTCAGTCTGTTGCTGATGGAAAAGCCAGGACCTATATAGCATAAATTCTTACAGGTAGTTATGTGTTCATAAGTAAAAACTGGGAAATAACCCAAAGTTAAATTACAACTCTGCAAGAATCTTCAAGAAGTGTTTCTTACACTGCATAATACTTTCACTTTTTGCAGAAAGCTCTCAAACTACATTGCAGCTAACTGATTTACAATACCTCTAAACACTTTTTTTTTCATTCCTTCTTTTTTTTTCCTGTATAGAAGATCAGCCTAAACTTTACACTCCACTTCAGCCCACACACTGTAATGTAAATTGATCTTAAGTGGCATACAGGTCTTGTCCTGGCCCTCTGGACATAAAGGAATTTCTCCATTCAAGAAAAGCTTGTTTTCTGTGAATGGAAGTTCTGAATAAGAAATAGGGAGACTTTATGGCGGTAAAAGCAAAAGAGATGTTTATTTATCTCTTTTTAGAAAAGATACGACAACTGATGATAGAAATAGACATCCAGGTAACTTCACTGGAAGCAGAGGTATGTGTCTGGGCTCAAAGGTGGAGGCTGATTACTTAGAACAAGATACATTCATTGTATGGTGTATAAAAAGACGCCAGAAAGTACCAGGAAAGAACCACAAATTGAAGAAAAAAAATCCATCACCATAGTCATGTAACTATAATTATTATTAGGTAAGGAAGAGCCTATTTTGTAGAATGAGACTAAAAGCAAACTTGTTGAGCACTAATGAAATTAGGGACTACAGCTGCCCCTAGTGAATATATCGAAAGCATAAAAAACTGGGTGAAGAGCTGTTAGCTGAAGGAGGGATGAGAAACTAACAGCATAAAGCATCCATTCTAAACGCAGTGATTTTTTTAGACTTTAGACTCAATATGCTTAGTGACTTCTGATGACCTGAAACATAACGTTCATTGCATGCTTTCTTTTGACACTGGGTTATGGCCCAAATTGTCATGATGGTAATAAAAAGTATGCCATGAGAGTCTCAATTCACCTAGAGTGTACACCTATAGAGGTGCACTGTCTTTCCAGGCATTTTATTTAAGTGAGCTCCTGGCTCAGAAGAGCCCCAGTGCAGCAAAGGAGCTTTGCTGTTGTTTGAATTTGGTCCAGTTTTCTATTTGTGGTATCCAGAAGTAACCTGCTTGTTTGATTCTTCCAATTAAGAAGAAATTCAGCTTTGCACTAAGCTAGAAGGTGGAAAAAACAGCATTTAATTTTCTCTTTGGAATCAAGAAAATAATATTACTTACTTTTAAACTTGTCATATGAAGTGGTTAGAAATTCGTTTATATCAGAATGTGTAACCATCTCCTTCAATGTGAGAAATTAAAAAAAAACTATCTTCTTTTTTTTTTTTCCCATCTATATGAAAAAAGAGTGGGAAGAGGGAGATAGTGGGTACATATCTTCACAAGTCCCAGCACCTGCCAACTGGCTGAGACAAACTGAGGTAAAAGAGGGGCGAAGGTGGTAGGTTGAAGAAAGCTATTGAGAGAACAGTGAGGATTACAGTGTGATTCTGGGGTATCTGTATAGTTGTGGCAGGAAATTAATATGCGAGTCTTGTCAGACTGGATATTGGGTATGCAGTCTGACACACGGTGATATCCTCTTATTTATGTAACTGGGTAATATTTTTAACACGACTACTGTCAAAAAAAAAAGGCGGCTTTAATGCTGCTGAAAAGCACGAGTGACTGCATAAGCAGAAGAGAAATGTAGCAAACACCTCTCTGGGCAAATGACTTCCTCAGCTGCGTAACGCTTTTTCACGTGATGTCCTAAGCAGCAGCCGAAAAGTTGACTACAGAAGCTTTACTTGTTTTCTCTTACATAAAAGGCATAGAGCACCCAACGCAATTATCACTGACTGCCTGAAAGCTCACAAAACGGTTTTCTTTCTAATCAGTAAGGTAATGCTGAGCCCAAAGATTTATATAGATTCAAAAAGAAGAAAAATACTTCAAAGTCCCTTAAACTCGGTGGTAACATTTCATCACAGGAAATCTCTAGCTGCATGTTTCTGGAAGCAGAGAGATTTTACCATGGAAGCATTGTTCTAGTCTTGCTCTGATCTTTTGCTCTTAGCTTCTGCTCTTGGCGTCTGCCAGATGCAAACTACCTGGCACAATACATAGCTGATGGGACCCAGAGCAATCCTTGCACTGTGACTACTGCAAAGTGATGGCAGGTAACAGAACTGCAGTTATTTATACAAGAATCTCAATGCAACAAATGATTACCATTACAGGAGAAAATCATTAATGTGTAAGTCAGATTTTCTTAATCCACTATTTTTTAGTGGAAGGGCATTTTCACACATCTTCAGTAAAGTACAGCAAAATGTGTAGGCCTAGCTGTGAAAGCTGGCCATTGTATATGAAACTAAATATTACTCTTGCAAGATAGAACTTTCATCTGTTTGAAGACTGCCAGCAAAACATTAAAGAAATAGCATTTTTACAAAACCTAACCCAACACATACAGATTATTACCAGAAATAAAACATCAATATATGGAAAAAAAACTATTTAAAAGAAATGAAAGATAATAATGAGCATTGGAAGGAATGGAATGAGAAGAAGATATCTACTTTTCATGCTTGTATTAGCTCTTTCCAAATAATGGAGGTAATCATGTATGAAATTGTATTTTTTACTGAATGTCATCTTGGACTTTGGTGTGAACACTTAAGATGAAAGGCTAGCTTTTATTCTGAGCTATTTATCATCTTAGGCTTTCTGAATGTTCCATGTTCTACAGAAAAATATCTATGGTTCTATACATCGATGAGAAATGCATCCTAAAGAGGATCTCATGCTTACCCAAAATAACCTTTAGACAGAACTGCCTGGAAAACAGTGGGTGATATGAGAAAATGAATGTTTTCCTTCAATAGTGATTCAATGTTATATTGTGTAACACGAATAGCATGTTCTGGTCATATGAAGCTTTTGTTAATCTGTAGTAAGATATCTTCAGATCTAAACAGAAATCTGCCTGCTGTGACAGATTGAGGATTATCTACTGAATTCCACTTCCATTTAACTCCCTTAGATAATTTTTCAAGAGAGAGAAAAAGAGATAGAAGGAGAAAAAACGAGAAAGAGAACAATTAAGAACAATTAATACTAATGAGATAATGCTAGAAAGCCTCTCTAAATAATCAATGTATTATTAAATGACAATGCACTTTTGGGACCTGCTGATCCATGGATACGTTTGATAAAGCTGGAGAAAGCTTGTCCCCAAACTAGAATGAACTATACTCATAATGGTCAGATAGAAATCGGTCATCTGTTGGCCATTTCATGTATATCCTATGAAACAGGAGTACAGGGTGCATTCTGCTTTTCCTCTTCAACAATTGATGAAAACAAAAGACTTCGCACTGTACATTAACACTAAAAAGGCTTCAATCAAGTGTACAGCAGATACTGATGCGGGCAAGGCAGAACAGTTCATCAAGAAGTCTGCAATCATCTTTCCCCTTCTGCTATCCTGAACAACATCTCTGGTTTCTACTTTTATAGGTCTAAGAGCCTTTCTTCCAAAATTTAGCATTCAAACTGTCTCTGGGTGCAGAAAAGCAATCACCTGACCCCCAAAAAATCAATAATATAATTCCATATGCAGATCATTAGCTCATGCTTATTTGTGGTAATAACTAATATTTTCTAAACAATTGCGAAACCGTCGTCTAAACAGATATCACACCAAAGGCAAACAAGCACACAAACGTCAGTGAATGAAGAATGCCACCAAATAATTGATATATAATTAAAATTAAAGTCAGCTTGATCTTCTATAGATTAATCAGTGCTAGCTCTTAGAGTTACTTAATAGAGAGTAAGAACTTTATCTATGAGCCCAGAAAAGCCATAGTTACTGTGAATAGGAGGCATAATTGAAGGAGATATGGAAAGGAATTATGAAGTTTGGAGTTACACAGCATTTTTAACATGGTGACAAGCAGCCTGCTATTACTTCAAATAGAAAATCAGTGCAGGGATTCAGAAAGATGAGTTATTATGATCAAATTAACAAAGATGACAAATGCAAGGTAACCTTTTCCACGAAGGAAAGATAGCCTGTGTATATGTTTTGGAAGTTAGACGCCAGGGAAATGCCACGCTCAAAGAAGAACACATGTGAGAAAGCTGGGAGTAGGTCTCAGTTATGCAGCAAAAGGAGAAAGAAGCAGAGAAAGTAGCTCCCTTACTACCATAAGTTGACTTTGTTTGGAGGAGTGTTCATGCTGTAAGACGGCTTGGAAAAGATGATGAGGAGCATGATCTATGTAATACTATCTACACCGCCAAGAACTGTCTTAGTAGCTGAAACTGAAGACTGAAAAGACACCTTTTGGCTTCTGTATACTTCACTGATATGATGCATTTTGCTCCTATAGCCTGTGAGGGATGTGAACCCAATTATCTTTGAGTATCATGCTTTTGTTTTGTAACGTAGTAAAGTAATCACAATTTTCTTGCAAAGTAAGGATTTGGAAGAGGGGAAGGCTACCAGCAGTAAAATACTTGGAGGACCTTGGAGGACAATCACAAATATTGCTGCTCTTTTATTAGACCAAAATAATTAACTAGTATCAAAGACTACATTGGATTGAATAAACATATTGGATATTCATAAGCTCTTTAGGGCAAGGACAATCAACATGACGTTAATAATGACTTTTTAAATTTTATTTTCTTCGTATCTAAAGGCAACGCTAAAAAACCTCACTAAGCTGCTTTAAAGACTTAAAGCATGCACTTAAAATGACTTAAAACCTTAACAAAGCTCTAATGCAGCACATGAGATTAAAGTCGCCACAAATCTTTAGGGTCAATTTCTTAACTTCCAAGTCCAACATAACTAATAAGGCTCTCAACACCACACACGAGGCAATGGTGAGCAACATGAAAATATTCTTCCCTGCCACTGGTTATTGTGACACAGATCCACAACTCTGCCTCCTTGATGCCAAAAGGTTGTAAAACTGAGATACCTCCATCTCACCCAGGTGAGGACAGTGTTTCTTTCCTCTCACAACATGCCACTACTGCCTGTAGAGAGAGTTCATTTTTCAGAAACTAAATTCAGGAATTGCAACTTATTTGCTATTAATAGTCAACCAGTTTTAACCAATTTTATGCACACTTAATACACTTTAACTACTTAGTATCCAATTACTTTTACTCTGGGTATACTTCTTAATAAGGATTATTTCTATAATGAGTTCCAAAATTTACTATTCGGTCAACAAGGGATTATATGTGTGAAAACAAGCCCTATATAGGGTTGATTTTAAAAGGCAATAGGAATAATTTTAGCCTTACAAGTTTCAAAAAGTGGATTTTATTTTAAGCTTTGAAATAAAATTAGTCATTGGCCAGAAACCAAGAATTTTAGCTTTACATGGAAACTTTGAAAAAGTTCTGAGTACGTGAAGGCTTTTGGAGAGTATTAGAAGAGAAAATTGTTTGCAGCTTTAATTATGCAATTTGTTA